CGAACAGTAAGATCAAGAAATATGTTGCGTCATATGGTTTTCAACCGTCACCTATGCTCGATGGGTGATGATACCTCACATTTTTAACTTGAGCAAAAATATCAATTCTGTAAAGTGATTAATGTAAAGGGTTGTGCATTGGGCTTTGATATGATCCGATTATTCAATTTTATTCAAATGCCGGATCATGCAAAATAAAAAAATATATAGATTATTTCACTTTTAGTCGCAAAGATTGCACTTTGTTCACTCTTGACAATTTCCTGTCAATGGAATGAACATATAAAAATTTATTATGTACTTTTAATTAAATTTATCATAGCATTGGAAGAAAAAAAACACGTGTTATGTAAAAAAAAAGACTCTTTATTTCGTTTTTCAAAAATGATGATGAACGGATTCGAGAAGTTATCGTCGCATTGTTTCTTCTATTCATTCGTTTTAAATTGTATAAGACATAGGTATTTGTAAGAGTAATTAAATGATAATTACTGTAATAATGAAGATATTCAAGTTATGAGTAAAGTGTTTAGGGGAATAAGCAAGCTTTTGCGAATTTCACGCGCTTTCACAAAGAATAACAATTCGCCATATTTTTTTATTTTAAATCACATTTCGCATAATGTTTTTATATAACTTGCCTTTGTCTTCTCTAATTCATCAATCTACACAACCAGATTATTGTACCCATCCTTTTATTTCGGCTGTGACTTTCTCGCTTCCGATTAATTCATAATCCGACGACGTTTAGTATTCGATTCTTCCTCTTCGTCAACGTTCTCTTTCATGGAGAAAAATTCTTCAGGACGAACCCGTTTTTGAGGCAATTGAATTGTATGTGGTGAAGGGGAGTCGGAGTCAGTAGTGGGATATGAAATGTCGGAAGCGATAGTGAAGGATGAAGAAGCCGAAGAATTTGCGGGGATGTCAGAAGGCGAGAATATTTCCGAAGGTGAAATGAATTCGAGGTTTGTGGAATGATTTAAAAGAGTAGCAAGATCAAAACTCTCGATGTTTAAACAAAAGCTATGGAGATCGATGAGATCTTCGGTATTAAAGGAATTGTTCTCAACGCTCGAAGACTCCAGTCGAGAATCGATGTCGATGCATGATTCAACGAGTGGACTTGTCTTTCTTTGTTGGACGTTTGGAAGGAAATCAGAGGCTGATAGATTGTTGGTGTCAATTGTCGGCGACGTAGCAAAGGTCGTTGATGAAGCATCACGTGAAAAATAATTATCTTCAAAATGCTGCGACGAGTAGGAAGCAATTAACGGAAATGGCGACAAGGCAGCTTCTCGGCATAGATAAGATCCACATGAATTCATGATTGAAACAACATCGGTGCCAACAAGTATGCCATTATCAGATGAAAAGCTATCGTCAATATCGGAACACCAGAAGCCGTATTCGGAAGGTTTCTGCGTCATGTTTCTTGCGTTCATCGCTAATGTTGAAGTGAATAGAGGATAAGAATAGAATTCTGGTGGTTCTTGAGAGATTTTGTAGACGGGAAGATATAATTCCTCGAGTGATTCGGTTTGTATGGTGACATCTTGTTCCGCAAAAACTAATGAATTGTCGAAGGTCGAGGTTACGTAAGAGTTGAAAGGTTCCATGGTGTGCAAGATCTTGTTACCTGGAAGTTAGTGAAAAAATAACGATGCTTATAAATGGTCTTCAACATACTTATCGAAAAAATATGTCAGCATGTTCTAATTTGTACTTCAAGAATCGTAATGCGCATCTATATTTTTAGTTCGCATTCGCACGCCAACGTAATCATTTATCTGACCTCAAAATCCCTTGATCTTTTGACCCTCCACGAAATTGTGACGTTTATTGATTTTTTTTTAGCGATATGTTCGAATCAAAAATACTTTTGATATCCGAAAATCTCGTTTCTAGTTACTTCTATCCGTGTTACTCAATATTTGATTTTACCACTGATATCCATTGTGATAAATTTATTACGATACTAAAATATCATTATTTATATATCAAATGTTCTTAAAGTTAGAGAATGATTCTTTAGTATGTTAATACAAGGTCATTTGTAACGAAATCTGTAACTCCGATTTAATAGGTACAATTTTCGAAAAATTTTAAAAACTCAAAATACAGTAAATGCAAATCCGTAATGAGGTAATGAATTTTTGTACGTGTCAAAGTACGTATAAATAACATTATTTCGTTCGCAGACACTTGCAGAAAATATTTTCCCTAATCTTATTTCTAGCATCTCATATTGGTGACTACGTTGGAATTATCAGAAAGAATTATAATCACTATATTAAGTGAACAATTTAAGAAATTTTTACTCGTTCAAGCATCATTTAGCTATACACTCATGTTTAAGTTCTTACACAGAGAAACTAACGGAAGTGAATTTCTCGGGTCGATCGTAAGGATGTGTAACACAAGAAATTTACAAGCATTAATCCTCGAAAATTTAGAAATTTGTCAAAGCATACAAATAAAAATGAAAGGTCTCGCTAAAATGATAATTCATACAATCAATCGTGGTCCGCCTCGTTTTCTTGATCTACTTCCATTTTTTCTTCCAACTCCATTTGAGCTTTCTGCTGTTTTGCAAATGCCAATTGTTCTTGCATCATTTGATACACATATTTACCGATATG